CCCCTCTGTCTCTCCCTATGTCCCCTGTGTCCCCCTCCCTGTGTCCCCACGTCCCCTATGTCCCTCTCTCCGTGTCCCCATGTCCCCATCCTTGTTTGTGTCCTCCTCCCCGTGTCCCCCTTGTCCTCTATGTCCCCACTGTCCCCCTCCCCGAATGTCCCTATGTCCCCTATGTCCCCGTTGTTCCCCTGCCATGTCCCCATGTCCCCACCTCTGTCCCCTCCCCCCCTTTGACCAATGTCCCCGTGCCCCCCAGGTCCCCCCCAGTCTTGGAGCCACCCCCACTGTCACCTCCCACTGTCACCTCGCGGACCCCAGACCCCGATGTCACCGCCACGTCACCGAGCACGGAGGGGACAGAGGATCAGGTATGCGGGGACATGGGGGGTGACACTGCCACCATTGAGGGGTGACACCACCATCATTGAGGGGTGACACTGCCAACACCGAGGGGTGACACCACCACTACTGAGGGTGACACCAACACCACCAATGGGTGACACCACCGTCATTGAGGGGTGACACCGCCAACACCGGGGGGTGCCACCACCACTACTGCGGGTGGCACCAATGCCACCAATGGGTGACACCACCTCTGATGAGGGGTGACACTGACACCACTGAGGGTGACACCAACACCACCAGTGGGTGACACCAACACCACCAAGGGGTGGCATCACCACCACCAATGGGTGATGCCAACACCACTGAGAGGTGACACCGCCATCACTGAGCAGTGACACCGCCACCATCAAGGGGTGACACCACCACTACTGAGGGTGACACCAACACCAACAATGGGTGACACCAACGCCACCAATGGGTGACACCACCATCATTGAGGGGTGACACCACCACCACTACTGAGGGTGACACCAACACCACCAATAGGTGACACCAACACCACTGAGGGTGACCCCAGCACCAACGGGGGGTGACATCGCCATCATTGAGTGGTGACACCGCCACCATCAAGGGGTGACACCACCACTACTGAGGGTGACACCAATGCCACCAATGGGTGGCACCACCACCAATGAGGGGTGACATTTCCACCACCAGTGGGTGACACCAACACCACCGAGGGGTGACACCGCCATCATTGAGCGGTGACACCGCCACCATCAAGGGGTGACACCACCACTACTGAGGGTGACACCAATGCCACCAATGGATGACAGCAACACCATCAATGGGTGACACCACCACCAATGAGGGGTGACACCGACACCACTGAGGGTGACACCAACACCACCATGGGGTGGCATCACCGTCACCAAGGGGGGGCATTACCACCACCAATGGGTGACACCAGCACCACCGAGGGGTGACACTGCCACTACTGAGGGTGACACCGCCACCACGGGGAGGTGACACCATGGCTGTCCCCAGG